CTTTTATTTTATTATTTTTCCTGTATCGGGAATCGAACTCATGACCTTGCTCTTGCCAGGCAGGCACTGTGCCGCTGAGCTAAATCCCCAGTCCCCCCACACTCTTCATGCTCAAGAATATTTGCACATACAGTGTGTCTGTGCTTAAAGACAAATCCAAAGGCTCCACGGAAAAATTTGAGTCAAATAAAGGTTTCAGTTAGTATCTAGGTAGTCAGAAGAAATTTTCTTTTTGAATGGACAGAGTGTTTTCCCTGATATTCCAAATTTTGCATTGATTCAAGAGAAAAACGAAAGTGATTATTAAGCCCAGAATGTGCAACACAGGGAGAACTTAAGTCAGAAGCAGAAGGAAGGTGTAGAAAAGAGAGGAGGAAGAAGAGGAAGGCAAAGGAGAGAGGAAGAGAAGAAAGTGGGAGAAAAGAAGGAGGAGGGTGATTGGTTTGATATTTCAAAATTTCCAAGAGTTCAAACATGATAAAAGGAGCCATACCACCAAAGACAAACACTGCAACCCATAAACTTGCCCCTTGTTATTGACATTACCTTGAGCCAGAAATAACCCAATCAAGGAAATTCTGTAGTGAATTCATTCAGCCATTCTGAATGACAAGTACTTGAGTGTAGGAAAATGCCAGATGATGAGAATGAACGCTTACAGCTCAGCTCAGGTCAAGTTGTTTGTGAGACATGGGAGGAAGCTACAACTAAAGTAGTAGCGCCTCTCTAATGGAGAAAATAAATGAATGAAAAGATCCGACGGGGGCTGACAGGAGGCTGGATTTTATTCCCTTGCTAAAAGGCATGTTGAGATATTTGTTGAATTATTTTCCTTTCAACTATTATTTACTTTATTATTCTTAATTCACAACTGTTATTTACATTGAAAATATTCAAAGATTTAAGAACAGCACACATCTTCAAACAGAAAAGAAAACAGCACCTTTGAATGGAATTAACTGTTTATTTCCCCCAAATTCATAGCAGAGCTATTACTCAGAAAATGAGAGATATAGACAAAAATAAAAATATAGCATACAAACTATGGTTCACTTAAATTGTAAAAATTACAGTTTATGAGCAGAGACACTATATCATACATGGTAATATGAGAGAGATGGTAAATGCACAGAGAAATAGCAGTATAAGAGGAGGGAAAAATTCAAAATACTTTGGTCTGTTAATGAGTCTCCAAGATCTTCCTGAAGAACACAGAATCCAGTGTGTGATGATCTGTGTGACCCAGACCCATGGGTACAGAGGCAGAGGCATCCCAAGGATAGGACAGAAGAGGACAAAGCCCTAGAAGTATGGGAGATTTTACTGTACAGCCACACAAAAAGAAACATAAGCAAAGAAGAAATAACAGGAACATGAAGTTCACTTTTTCTACATCTCCTGTTAAAACTGCCCATCTACCAGGGTAGCCAGGGTGAGTGGTACAAAGCTGTAATCCCAACACTCTGGGGGCTGAGGCAGGAGGATCTACGTTTGAACCCAACTTGGGCAAAGTGATTTAGCGATATTCTGTGTAAAAAAAGAACAAAAACTTAATTAAAAAGTACAAACAGGCCAGGTGTGAAGCTCAATACAAAGGCCCTGGATTCAATCCCCACTACTGAAAATAAAAATAATAGATAATAAAGTAGTAATACTACAAAGGGCTGTGGTATAGCTCAGTTTAATCTGCAGTATCACCCAAAAAATCACACAAAGCGATCTAATCTTTGATCTTTATGAAATGCAGTATAACCTCATTTCACAGATACTATAAAAATGGAGACTCACATAATTAACAAAAACTCCCAAAAACCTATTTAAAAACTGAAAGACTCAGTATGACTCTCCGTTTTTCCTGACCCCAAATCTAGTTATTGTAAAGGTATACATCCAACATGCTGGGTTCTGAGATGAATGATATTGACCTGACTGGGCTGGACAGGTCAACAAATGAAGAGTGGGTTATATCCCACAGAAAATAGGATCTCGTGAGGCTTTTTTATTGGAGGAAAAGAGATTTATATGATCTAAGGTGTGCTTTCCAGGCCATTTTTCACATTCTTCAAACTGGCCTGCTAGCATGTGGAACTATCTGAGCTATTTAAAAGTACAGATTTCAACTTCAGTAGCAGTAAAGTGAGAGGTCAGTCATGCCAAGTCCCTGGAGAAAGCTTAGATTGTTCCCATGGTCTCTCATAGGATTAAAATCGTAAAGACTGTTACCTAATTTACTTTAATTTTTCATGCGATATTCGAGACCATACCTTGCGCATGGCAATTTTCATCTCCATGTTTCTCAGCGTATAGATGAGAGGGTTCAGCATGGGGGCAATCACAGTGTAAAACACAGAGATCTCCTTGTCTTTGTTCTGGTCTCCTGCAGGGAATATGTAGGTATAGACACAGGGCACAAAAAATAAAACCACCACCATTACGTGAGAGCTACAGGTGGACAGAGCTTTGCGACGTCCTGCAGATGATCTTGCCCTCAGATGATACAAAATGAGTACATAAGAAGCCACCAGCACGAGAAAAATGGCAACTACCACCATCCCTGAATTAGCAATCACTAAGATACTAACAATACGGATGTCTTTGCAAACAAGTTTCAAAAGAGGCTTCACATCGCACAGGTAGTGATCTATCTGGTTAGGACCACAGAACGGCAAATTGAGTATCATGAGTAGTAGCGCAATTGAGTGCCAAAATCCTATCCCCCAGGACATGGCAATCAACGCGTTGCACCGCTTCCGGTTCATGATGGCCATGTAGTGCAGCGGCTTGACGATGGCAACGTAACGGTCAAGAGCCATGGACACCAAGATGAATATTTCTACGCCGGCCAATAGATGAGCAGCGAAGAGCTGCGTCATACAGCTGTTGTAGGAGATGCTTTTCCTCGCAGCAGCTAAGTCCCTGATGAGCCTGGGAACCACGCTGGAAGTGTAGCAGAGGTCCATGAGGGAAAGGTGGCAAAGAAAGTAGTACATGGGTTGTTCAATGAGGGGGCTGCAGGTGATCGTGAGTAGAATGGTGACATTTCCCATCAGGACTGCCAGGTAACAGAGCAAGAACAGGAAACAGAACAGGAGCTCTGTTTTTGGATTTCCCCAAAGTCCCAGAAAAATAAATTCTGTGACATTCTTCTGATTCTCCATGTGTTCAGTGTGAGTACTTATTAAACAGAAACTTCCTTCACCTGAAATAGTACAGGACATAATACATCTTCAACAGCTTGTATAAGTTTTGCAGACACTTATACATCAAAAAGATAGTCATAGCCATAGCAGATTTAATCTATAAAGCCCTTTTAATTAAAAAGCATCATTATATTTTTAATATTTAATGAGTGTACTTGGAATTTCATAAATATTTTAAAAGCATTTAACTCTCATAAAAATCCAACAGGTACCGTTCTGATATTCATTTTTCATAGGAAAAAATAGAGAGTAGGAGGCATCAGTCAATTACATTGATCATTAAGATATTAACTAGAAGACCCAAGATGTGAACCTAGTTCCAGCGCCAAGTTCCAACCGCCTAAGCACTAAGCCACATCATCCATAAACAAAATGGAAATCCAGCTGTTTCATATGTATATAAAAAGCTATTCTCTTTCATTAGCATCATCATGTGCTAACTATATCAGATTAAGGAAGTCCCTCCCCTTCCCTATTTACATATAATTTATCTATAATATACCAATCTCTCAATTAATATTTCAAAAATTTAATGAAATTAATATTTATTAATTTGAAAATTCCAGACTGTTCATCATCTTAGTAAAATAGTCTGAATTGTTTGGTTGATAACGATATCAGTGCTTTTTCATAGTGTGTTTGGTCAAAGGACATAGAGTTTGAAAATAAGTACACAAGGGAAGTAAATGGGCATCTATACAGAGGAACATAGTTTATGGAAAAACCTTCACCTTTTTCCTAAAATTGTGAATACATTTATTGAACGTTACTGCTGACCTGCTGGGCACACTTTAGACAGACATTCGCTTCCTGGCGACTGGTTGAAGGACCTAATGCGATTCTTACCCAAGAGCCTGCTGATTTAATCTCACATCCGGAAGAGTTATGCAGTAAGACGCAGTGCATCTGGGAGCAGAGAACAAACATCTTGAAATCATCACCGTTATCAGTATCTAAATGTCCTCTTCAGTAAAACCAGGCTGAAAGAAGAAATAATAGTCTCAAACAATCTGTGCTCGTTCCATGGGACCAGTGAGGAAAGAATTGCTAAGTGTAAATACCTCATCTAAGGAGCAGGAGACAAGCATTCTTCCAGATTCTCTGCTGATTTCTTTGTTGACAACACAGATCAGCTGGTTCCCTCTGAGCCTTCTGGTTTAATTGCTTTCTGGAAGCAGTGGTACTGAATCTATTTGCCTTACACCAGAAGCAAAGTAAGTTCATGTAAAATGATTTGTGACATAAGGGATTGCAAGGGTCCAATATCAACCCAAAATTTTTCTGGAAAGGAGCAAATTCCTGTAAAAGGAAGGAGATATCACCAGTTTCATTTGGCAATGTTTGCAACTGCTGTAGATTTTGTGGTCTGGGAACCACAAAAATGGGTGGATGAACTGATAGTAAACACACATAAAGTACAGAAAAAAACCCTGGGTCTTATAAAAAGTGAGTGTTAGTACATTTGTTTTGTGTTCAAATTATGTGGATGAATCTATGAGTTAAAGGACATAAAAGAGTATTCTGTCATTAAAATTAGAAAACAAAATTCAAGTGAAACTAGGGAATTAAAGATGCAAAACTGCAAACCTCTTCAAAAACATTTCCTCCATGATATTGATGCCAGCCTCAGGGTCTTTTAACATGTAAATCCAGGACTTCTTCCTCACAAAGATGGAATATAAGTTGGTAGAATGCAAACCTATGCTGACGTCAATGCTAGAAAGTATTTCCTGCAGTGTCTTCACTATGAAAACTGTGAAGTTACCTTGTGTTGAAATATCCAGAGGCTCCAACCAATCCTCCGATCCCATGTATTCTTTTAATACAGAAAACTCTCAGTCAGTATCCCCTGTCATGCCCCCTGCCCCACCAACTGCAAGTATTCATGGATACACAAGGCTTTATGAGTGAGCAATTTTTAGTTCATTTTGTTATCTACCTTTTACTCAAAATAAATTGTCCATAAATCTGTCCTTTACTGTTTTAAATTCTTTCGGGAAGATCTCTGGAGAAATTTGCTTGGCAAAGATATGTACATTTCTGTTTGACAGGAAGAAAAAGCAAAGAAAAATATTAAAGTAGAGTTTGTGCAAAGTAGATTTAATACTAAAGCTATGAAACTATATGAATAATGTAAAATTCATCAAGAAAGATTTGATAAGATTTTTCTGTTTCTCTATCTACTTATGTCCACACCAATAAAATATGTGAAATAGAAGGATATAGACTTAATTATTTAATGTGTTTGGAGTAAAATAATAATATGGAGTAAATGATAAATAATATGGAGTAATAATTTGGAGTAAAACAGTAATAACATATTAATAATATGTTCTAGGAACAGCATTAAAGAACTTTTGTTTTGTTACCCATTTCATTTTTACTATAACTGAGTGAACCACGTTATTTTATTTTTGCCTCTGTTTTTCAAATAAGAATACTGCAGCCCAAGAGTACACAAATACTATGAGGGAGATCTGTACCTAAACCGTGGTAGTATCATCCAAAATTGTAACTGTTTTACTACTTAGACTTCTCTCACAAGTACAAATTAAAGTTTAACCCTTTACTACTGAATTAATTTATCCTCAAACAACATGCAGATTTCCTGAATGTCATCTCTTGGGAAACACCCCAAGAAAAAATACTCCAGAAAATAGATTTTAAAATTAAAATTCACTAATGTCAGGTTTTCATTAAATAGTTGTTCCTGAAACCAAACTGGTATCCCAAGGCAAGAAAATAGATACAGGTGCTAATCGTAATTCTCCTGCCAGATTTTACCTTGCTTTGAAAGGTCAAAGTGGTCCTTTGGGCTGGTTCCACTCACTTTTCTTGACTGTGATATGAAACAGCGAACGGATGTACAAAGCATCTGCATCACCACGAATCTCGAATCCAAAGCACACTTTAGAGATGTATTCCTGGGAATATTTTGAATTAAAAGACGTAAAAGGCCCCAAGGGAAAGAGTACCATGGGCATTTGTGGGTTTTTTTGCAGCAAGTTCATGTATATGATAATGGGAATAGTATTGTCCATACTATTAAATGGTCATGGTGATAGTTTTAAAGTTCCTTTTAATCTTCTGAGTTATGACATAAGCAATTCAAGATTTCAGTAATTATTTTGGATGAGATATTGTGATGTTTTATCTCTCTACTCAACCAGAATAATTTCCTGAAGTAGTGAATTCACTGAAGTTTATATAACATACACTTCCTAGGCAATGCATTATTAATGACTGAATGTTATTACTATGCTAAAAAACTATCCTCAGACTCATTGTCATTATCAGAATGTTTCAAAAGTTCTCAGTATTTCATTATTCCCATTAGAAAGTAAATAGATAGCAGCTACTATTAGGTAAATACTTAGAACTTGGAAGATGGTTCAGTTATAATACATTTTCCCTTATTTTCATTTGTTTTTATTTGTGTTGTGTTACCTTTCCCCAGTGGAATCTAAAGTGACCAGGTTATGTAATTCATAGCCATTTACACATGCAGTAGATCATCCTCATAGGTCTACTTAAGGCTTCTCATCAGATTTACTTCATTTTAATCTTCATACCACTCACTTCCACTTCCCAGTCCTTCTGTAAACCAGCTGTATTCTAATCCGAATACTTACCTCTTAGTAGTCTAGAGTCATCACCCTTTCCTTGTGGTTTTCTTATTGCTGTCCATAACTTTAATATAATCTAGTCTACACGCTCCTTGCATTAGGGTATTTGACATTGCTCTCTTTATTACACAATCTTGGCTAGGTTTGTTTAATAGTGTGACCTCAAAATTTATAAAATGATGCTAGATAAGTCTGAATGAAGAAACAAATCCACATTTACACTGAAAATTTCAATATTTATTTTCAAATATTGATGAATAAATCTGGCATTAAGTCGGGAAGAATATAAGAGGTCTTAGCAATGTAATTCACAAGTGTGCAAGTACAGAGATGAAATTATGCATTTAAAAATTGAAGAATGCATATTACTTTCATATAGTACCATTTAAAAAAAAAATAAGCCCTAACTGGAAAATAGTCAGCCTTGAAAACTAGAGATCAAAAATTTCAGCTCCAATCAGCCTATCCTTAACTAAAGAAGAAAAACGTGGGTCATCCTTGTCAAATGAGTGCATCTTGAGACCACAGTGAGAAGTGAAACAAATGAGACATAGTTTCTGTTATTTGAGAACTACAAAATATAAGGAAAGACCAAAATAAAAGATAAATGATAGGAGACAGAGAGGGAGATTTTACTCATGTAGGAAAGGAATCTCGAATGCAGGGATATAGCAAGACCGAGAGGGTGCCAGGACATAAACATGATTGAGATGTGTGCCAGTTCCCCAAGATGAATGTAGTTATCACTTACCACAAACTTATCCAAATAAAAAAGAAGCTGGAAAAGGAGAAGAGGAGGAGGAGAAGGAAAAGGGTAGGAGAAGGAGAAGGAGAAAGGAAGAAGACAGCACACCACTGGATCTTGGAAAAACCCTGCCAACAGATAAATTTTTATAAACAAAGCCAATTATGTGAATGACAATGTATAGAAATGTATAAAATATAGATAACAGAAAGCTATACTGTATTATCAACAACTAACTGTCAATAATTCTGAACACAGCAAAACTAGGCGTTTTCTAAATCCAGCTGAATTATGAATCTTTCCAAATATTAACCATAAAGAAACTCATTTATCATAACTAGTTAGCAATGAGTTAATATTACTTAAAATAATTTTACAAGAAAGCACTAGATCCAAATAGATTAATAAAATTCTAATATACTTTTCAAAAATATATTCTTGCTATTATGACGTCTTCCATGGTAGAGTACCAAACACACTGTCGCTCACTTACTTTGCAAGACTATTGTTCCAAAGAAGTAAAATGAGTTACTGATCAATTTCTCTACATAACAAAATTATGTCACAAATTAAAGAATTAGTCCACCTAATATAGAAACTTAGAATATAGAAAATTAATACTCCACTCCAAGTTTTATATCAGGTGTTCTAAAATAGTTTAAAATAATAAAATTGTTGATTGTTATTAACCAAATATTAAATTGAAAGTTAAAGTTAATTTTAGTGTATTTAGAAAGTGTATACCTCTAAATGCTTAACATTAGAAAGTTTATCACTTTTAAAACTCACAGGATGCTAATATATAAAGGAACACACCCAGACAAAAGATTGTAGTATTAAATACCTATATAGAATACATTTGCATTGGGATTCAACATGGCTGACAAGAGGAGGCTCCACATTGGAGCTACACAGTGAAAATTAACTGAAAACACAGGTAATTGGAAGAAAGGGAGGGACATGCATCCTGATGCCAAAATCACTCTGAATTAAGAGACTTGCGGATCAAACAAAATGCAGAGATAGAGCTTTGTAAAATGGCTGTCCAGCCCACAGGGCTGTCAACAGCACTGCCTCCTGCATGCTCAGAAAGAAATGCCATGCTGCGAAGTATCCAGGAAAGTGAATGGTGGACTGCAAAAGTGTAGCTAACTCCAAGCAAACAGGAGAGATTTAGGATACATGGCCCCTTATCTTTTTCCCTTCTTTCACACAGAGGACCTGGCAGCCGGGCCACAAATTTCCCAGTACTGCTTCTCCCTCCCCAGTGAGCCAACAGGCTTTCTTTTCTTTTCTTTTCTTTTCTTTTCTTTTCTTTTCTTTTCTTTTCTTTTCTTTTTTTTCTTTTCTTTTCTTTTCTTTTTTCTTTTCTTTTCTTTTCTTTTTTTTTCCTCTTTTCTTTCTTTTCTTGCTCTGCTCTGCTTTCTTTGCTTTGCTTTGCATTGTTTTGCTTTGCTTTTCATTTCCTTTTTTTTTTTTTTTTTTTTTTTGTCATGTGCTCTAGCAACTACCTGGAACCTTTAGCTACA